GGAATCATACACACACTCAATGTTATATGAGTGTGATCATTAATATTGGGTGCGACTACATATTTATATTATAAAATTAATGTGAACATTCACATCTTTATATACGCATTATATTTGTGACCAAAATAATACATTGTTGTCGCTAGTATGACTATTTTTGAATGTGAATATTAACACATTGTTGTTTGTGCTTGTATGACTATTCCTGAATATGAATATTAACATTGATTAATGATGTGTTTGCTGATCACAATGCCAATTGTAACACATTACAATGTGATAATCCACAACAAGCAATGACTTCATACAATGTGAACATTCATACCATGTAATAATCATGCAAAAACATGCAAATTCATACAATAATTAGTGATATGTGAACATTCATATTATGTAATAATTATGCAATCACCTGCCTACATTACACATCATGCAACCATCACATATTTCTAATGTTAAAGTTTGTTTCACTAAATGCAAAATATTAAAATCTGATAATCCACAACAACAATGACTCTAGTGGATGTGAACGTTCATATTCATTGAAATACCCAACCAATAAGCATACACACACTGATACATAATGCTATATCAATCAATTTCGAAATAAAAATTCAAACCCAACATTAATCAATTATTAAACAATTCTGAACGTACATTCCTACCAAGCATTACTGAACATGAATCCCTACCAAATGCATACTTATATGCAGTTGCAAAACAAAAACGGTGTAAACCTTCGTCCAATAATTCTAAACTTGTAATGGATGTGAAAACCTATCCCTACGATATTTGACTAGAAGAAAACAAAGCTTCAAAAGCGTAACAATGTAAGAAAATGAAGCTTCAAAACCGTAACAATGAAAGAATATAGAGGTTCGAATTGTAACAATAGAAGAACATAGAGTTTCAAATACAGAGTTTTCGAACTGCAACAATAAAAGAATACAGAGTTTTCGAACCGCAATCATGGAAGAACACAAGATTCTCTCACCATTAATGTGTAAAACATAGCTTCGAAACCCTACCAAAATATATAAGAAGCCTATACTACTAATTTCTCTAGAATCGGTAATCACCAAATGTAGCGATCCCGATTTTGACCCGGTCAGCTTACGGGGGTCGAGCTGCCCGGTCAGCTCGCCAAAGAAAAAATGCAAAATGCATTCAAAATTGCTTGAGCCGCACATGCGGAAAATAGGCGAAAGCTTGTTTGGCTACTGCAATAAATGCAGGTGCGAGAGTGCAAGTGCGGGACAAGCGCCACACGTGCGGTGGTAGGTGAGCCCGAAATTTTGGTCTATTCTTTTCTTTAGGCTGAGTGTATCTCACTCTTGTTAGGTCTCTCTCTCTCTAAAAACCCTTTCCTCTCCCTTCTCTCTACATTTCCCTACGCCAAATTGGATCAAAACCTTGATTTCTCAAGATCCATTAGAGTTCTGCCATAGTTTCTTCATCAAAGTTGGTTAACTTCTCGAGGGCTTCGTTGTGTGCGATAAAGATCGAGTTTCAACATCGTTGATTTTGGGGGTTTCATCTCATTTCTTCTTCAAAACTTGAGGTAGGGATTTTCTTAGAGTTATATATATATATATATATTGTTGCAAGATCTATATGATTTTTGAAATCATCTTTCGATAGCTTTGAAAATTGATTTTTGATTCAAGAAGTTGAGCGATTTTGAAAGTGAGTTTGTCTCTTGTTCTTTTAAAATGATCTTATGGGTTTTGATCTTCGTTAATTGAAGAAAAGATGATTTTGAAAAGTTTTCTTTTAAAAGATTTGAGTTGTATAGTTTTGGTAAGAAAACCTAGAATTTGAGGATTTTTTTTAAAGGGATTGAAAATTCATGAATGATATTGTTATATTTATTTTTGTGTGTCAAAATAAATGAATGTTTAGAAAATTTCTTATTTATATTTATATTTATATAAATGATAAATTTCAGGGAATATGAGAATTGTTATTCATTTTAGAAATTGTTGTTAAAAATGTTGATATAGTCTTGAAGTGACTAAATGGTTGAGATTACTCTAAGTGTGAGAATTTTGTTGTTCCATGGATGAATTGGAATAAAAGTATTTATATTCATCTTGAGAAATTATATTGAAATGAGAAATGAGAATTTTGATCACAATGGGAATATTGTGTGGGAGTTAGGGATGGTAATTTAAACTCGGACCGACGGGGACCCGACTCTCCGATCCCGATTTGTGCGGTTTTTTCCCGAAAAATACCCCTAATGGGACGGGGATGGTATTCAAAAATCAATCCTCGATTAATTTCAGGCCGGGGACAGGGATAAGTGTCCAAGCCCCGTACCCGGCCCGGCCCCGTCCCCGTCCCCGGTCCCGGTTTATCCCTGAAATAAAATTACCATTTTACCCTTCTATATATATATATATATAAACCAAACCTCTTACACTCTTACACACACACATGCCTCTCAATCTTCTCTCTCACGGTCTCTCTTTCTCTCTGAAACCCTCCCACCAACGCCGACTCCCTCCCTTCCTCCCTCCCTCCGCTGTCTTCTTCCTCCTCTCATCACCGCCGATCTGTAACGATTATCACCGCCGACTCCTTGCCTCCGCTGTCCTCTCCCTCCTCCTATCACCGTCGATCTACAACAATCATCATCGCCGATTCGAGATCTACAACGATCTAAACTGAGATCTGAGCTTTGTTCAACAAGCTATGGATCTGGATCTTGCAGCGGAGGACAACGAAGCAACGACGGAGGAGAGCAACGGAGGAGCAGCGACGAAGGAGAGTGTCGGAGGAGCATCGATCGAGTTGGGTTTGGAGATGGGGAGAGAAAGAGAGAGAGAGAGAGATTGTTTGGTTTCTGCTATGTGTATGATATATATATATATGCAGAATGTATTTTGGTCATGTATTTGGTCACCTACTCTCCTTTTGATGAAGTATTTTTTTATTTTGCTTTTGCAGATCTTTTTTTCAACCCTCTGGTCTTCAACATCCTCGTCCACGACCACTTCTGCGTTTCAGATCTTCAATTTAATTTTTTTTTTAAGTTGATGATTGTTGTTGATGATGATGAACATACTGATTATTTATTTATTTATTTATTTTTTGTTCTTGTGTTGTGTTGAACAAAATTTAAGAAAAAAAAAAGAGGCCGGGGATATTTCGGAGTCGGGGAAACCCGATCCCCGTTAGGGGACGGGGACGGGGACGGGGACGGGGACGGGGACGGGGAGGGGTCGGGTACTGCCGGGGATTGGGGGCGGGGCCGGGGATATTTTCACCATTGGGGATTGGGGACGGGGAGTGCAATCCCCGGCCCCGGCCCGACCCGTTGCCATTTCTAGTGGGAGTACTGAAAGTGGAAGAAATATTGCATTGTATTATTAACCATTGCAATGACATATCAATTCATTTGATAATGATGAGCTTTGAAATTTGATTTGAAAACTTTACATTGAGAAAGGAATCTTGGGAAACAAGTTTTCATGAAATGATTTTGGGGTAAATACGGTGGTAAATCTTGAAAGGCGGTGTAGATGATAGGTGTCGAGCCTTCCAGTTAATACTGGTAAAAATGACAGATTACAAGTGTTGAGCTTTTTAGTTAATACTGGTAAAAACGACAGATTACAGGTGTCGAGCCTTCCAGTTAATACTAGTAAAAATGATAAATTGGTAGTACTTGTATAGTCTACTCGCAGACACCGACCTAGGGATTACCAAAGTCGTATTTACCGCTCTTGAAATGAATTGTTAAGTTTTGAAGAATTGAAATTGCATGACATCAGTGAGCATGATGGTTTTCAAAGATGAAGATATGATTTTCTTTCAATAGGGCATAACATAGCATGTGCATTTCATCTCTTGAGACTTGTATACTTTGTTAAGGATTTCCTAGTAGGCTTTATGCTCATTCTACGAGATTTTTGTACAGGAAAAGATGTGGTGATGCCGCTTAATTAAAGGCAAAGAAATGGGTGTTGAGAGTACGAGACTGTCATTTTGATGTAACTCTATGTGTAAGCCAATGGTTGTATGTGTGTAGGTTTGAATAACCGTTTTATGTAACTAGGCTCAAGCCTTGGAAACTTGTAGATCCTTGGGGGTATTAATTTGTTTATTTAATTGTTGTTGGATTAATGTATTGTTGTATGAAGAACTATTATATCATGTAACGTAAGTTTGGAGATTTATATTCGGTTTTTCTTTGAAAAAATTATGATTGTTGTATTATCATTTGGGCTAGAAATTTGGAGCGTTACACCAAAACTGCCAAAACAAAAAAAGGAAACGTGAATATTATAATTGTAGATAATACGTACCATAAAAAATAGAACAAATGGTACAATAGTCTAAGAAATATTATAAGGAAAAAAATTACCTCTTGAAATATAAGTCTAAATATATAAAATTAAGTAAAACATAAGAAAATTTTATTGACTTATTAGATTATAAATCTTCTAAATAAGGTTTATAAATAAATCTCTTATTTTAAAGGAATTTTTTCTTAAGGTCCTGATATTAATATTTTATAAGATAAATGACATACAATATTTTCATAATAATTAAGGTTCTTTAACATTTTCATAAAGAAAATTTGATTTAGATAAATTTTGTCTGACGCAGAGAAATTTCAGCCTCGACTTAGAGAAATTTCAATTTTTATAGAGAATTTCTCTTTGAAAATTAAAAATTCTCTGAGTTCTCTATGAAAATTGAAAATTTTCTAAGTCGGGGCCGAAATTTTTCTGAATCGGATAAAATTTCTCTAAGTCAAATTTTCTCTGTAAAAATATTGAGGGACTTTAATTAATAAAAAATATTTTAGATCTCTTCTACTATATAAAATTAAAAAAATATATTTTACTAATTTTTTTATTTTAAAATTATAAAGAATAATTCATATTAGTACGTGTAGTTATAATTGAAGTTTTATTTTTTTAAAAATATATTTGATTGCTTGCCAACGTGTGGTACATTCATACCATGTAACCGCATAACACCACACATCTTTTGGTTCCCACCTCTCAACAATCCTTTCCATCCATAAAACTCTCTCTCTCTCTCTCTCTCTCTCTCTCAATAGACAGCTCAATTCAAAGATGAGCAAAATCAAACAACTGTTCCTCTTTGTCTTCTCTTAGTCTCATCATCATCATCATCTACTTCCTTACCCTCCCTCAAGAGCTTCAATGGCGACCGCTTCTCTCTCTCTCCTCCCTTCTTCACTCAGCTTCACAGTCACTCCCGAAGCTTCTTCATCTTCTTCCTCTCCTTTCTTCGCTGGTGGGTCTCATCTTACTATTAATCCCCTCACTATTAATCCCCTCCATTCTATCTCCCAAAACAAACGGGCCCTTAGTCTCATCATCATCATCATCATCTACTTCCTTACCCTCCCTCAAGAGCTTCAATGGCGACCGCTTCTCTCTCTCTCCTCCCTTCTTCACTCAGCTTCACAGTCACTCCCGAAGCTTCTTCATCTTCTTCCTCTCCTTTCTTCGCTGGTGGGTCTCATCTTTGGACCCACAAGAACTTCGTCTCAATTTCTTCATCATCTCAATTGAGTAAAAAGTTATCTGCCAAGCGATTTGGTACGGTGGTCTCGGCCGCAGCAGATTATTACTCCACTCTCGGGGTTTCCAGAAGTGCCAGTGGTAAAGAAATCAAGGCGGCTTACCGCAGGTTAGCTCGCCAGGTACTGGAACCCCAATTAGGGTTTTTTTATCTCTTCTTTTCATTGAAAGCTTCACATTGTTCTGTTTGCATGCTCTAATGCGTTTCCTTTGATTGAAATCCTAATTGGGTTTTGGAGAAAATGTTTATTTTTGGCTATTTTTAGATGTGAAATGAAATTTCTTTGTGAAATCTTTGATGGGTATATGAGAATTTTCTTTGGGATCATTTGGATTTTGGAGGCATTATTTTTTAATTAAAATTATACTGTTGTACATTACAGGATAACAATCACTGTTTCATGCACAAAAAGAAGAAATTATCAATTAGGTTTGTTTTCACTTTTGTGGAACATATGGATTGCAAAACCTTGCCTCCACAAATGTCTTTTACTGTTTTATGGATGAAATTTGGCACTTGTTGGATCATTTGAAGGTGGGTTTATGTGAGTGAGGCATTTTTTTGGTGATAATTTAGCAGAGAAGGTTTTCTTTTCAGATTGCAATCAAATGGGGGTATGGGTGGATGCTTGGTGTTTGCACATTCAAAGTCCACACATGAGTGGAACTGTTTAGCATTCTTCCTGTTTGTTGGTTAAATCTATTTTTCACAATGAATATGTTGCGGGAAACTGTGATGGACATTTTAAAGATGAAAGAAAATAAGCTTCTAGAAAGACAAAGCGATTTTAAAAGGATTTTTCATTTTGTAGGAAATGCAAAATTTCAAATGAGGTGTGCAGATTCAACTAATTTGCATAGGCATAGGTGACAAATCACGTGCCAACTTGTGAATTGGAAATAAAATTGTGTCAAATTCACGAATTCGTTAATGGATCATATTTTGACCACTCGTAAGTAGCCACATGTAGAGCTCACCATTAGTAAATCACACCTTAACACTCCCCACATGCACAGTCGTAATTCTTCAGCATGCATTCAAAGTTGCTACTTGAAAGGTTTGATCATGTGACTCAATAATGCAAACAAATTTGCAACCAGATTCCAAAATCAAGGGAGAACAAAATCCCCAATTCGGGTGTAAACCCACAAGGGTTAGAGAGAGAACCCAAAGCACTTGCTAAATTAATTTATACTTTCTTAAATTAAAACTAGGTACAAATGAGATTACATAACCTATTTATAGGCCACAACTAATAGAACACGTAGCCCACTAAGTGGACATTTTACATACAACTCATTTTGACACTTAACTTATTTATTCTACTACATCAAAAAAAGAACAACAAAAATGTCCTAAGGCATGTCCAAACACAAAACACGCATGTCTATGAAGTGTCTCCAACATGCCCTACAAAAAGAATAATAATTAAAAAAATTAACACACCACATGGCCTGTCTTATATGTGGACACGCATGTCTGCAACATGTCGGTGTCCAATACATGTTGGTTACAGGCACAACATCTATTTTGAAGTATTTGTACTTCTTAGGTTATCAAGTTTTTACTAGACTCAAGTTTTTCCATTGTTCTTTAGTCCCCGCTTCAATCTTAATACACTTGACATATTTTAGGTCTTCACCTTTTCTTTTCTTTTTTTCTTTTTTTTCTCTCTTGGCAAGTTTATATACATCTTTTTCCCCATCCTAATAATTGTACCTTTGATTAACATTCGATTTAGCCCCCTTAATTGTTTTCTTAGTTCTGGTTTTGGCTACTCTTATATGTATAGAAAGCTTTGTGACAATCTATTTTTATTTTTATTACTTTCTGAACCTTGTTTTTCCACCACCAAGTTTCTTTAAATGGTGGGGCACTTCCCTTATATTCACTTAGAATCTTTTTGCTATTTTTGTAAATACAGGTAACCATCTCACACCACACAGAACTAGTTTCCTTATTCAAAATCCATTTTTCTTCCTTAATTATTCTATTCTTAAAGAGTTCTAAATTTCACTTGTTAAATTCTACCATTTAACCAGTGGGAAAAAGTTTCCACCGTCTAATTCGTGGGTGCCTACTTACCTCGCTCTTCTTCTTCTATCTCCTAATACATACTTCTAATACTACTAACCTATGTTGTGTAGTGAGACTCTCTCCTATACTATTGGTTCACAATCCTTACATGCTAACTCTCCTAGTAAAAGACAAATTTGTTTAGCTAATATTCGTTCCACTTTAAAATGGTGTTACGTGTCCATCCCTTTTCTTAAAGCATGTGATTGCTATTACAAAGCCGTATGTCATTGCGAACTCCAAGATAATAGTACCTTCATTTCTCTCTCCAAATCCCTAATCCCCACGTATACTCTCATGTCGCCACTACCTCTTCGTACATGCCTATAAAAACTTTTTGGTTGGTATCCTTTGTGCTAATTCATCTTAATCTTTCAAAAATTATTGTTTAATAGATACATTTAATTCTATAATCCTATTTTGGGCATATAAGCATTAATAATATTTAGTGTCACTTTTCCTAACATTAAAATTTTACTAATATTATTCTCTCTCTCTCTCTATATATATATATATATGTATATATTTTAAACCTCTACCACCTTTCTTTTAGATTTTTATCTATAACTATCCCTATTTCATTTCTATATTTCTCTTTTCCAATATCTTTTTCCCTAGATTTTCCCTACCTATTTAGTTTCGTAAACAAATAATATTATTTGTTTTTTTTTTAATCGTAATATCTACTAATTTCATCTCTTTATTGGTTAATGTTCCTATGTTCCCAGTCCTATGTGTATCTAACTCTTTTGTATTCTTACCTGCACTCATCCGTTAAAGTGCGAGAGCCCTTGCCTACTTACTCACCATACCTAGGCGCTGATGTGGCACATTGCTTGGGTGGAACACTCTAGGTATCAGTTGCTCATTTATAACTACACCCAGGCTCCGATGCATCACAACGCAAGTGGGAACATCTTGACTGAAAAATTGTTAAGACCCATGTTCACAAAGGTGTGACTTTTAAGTTTGGCGCTGCAACCCTCTTCTTTCTCTAGGCTTAGGTCTGGTTGTGAAGATAAAACTCTAAGCACAACACCGGCAGAGTTATGGGCCAATAAAATCTCAACCTCAATTAAATGCAGAAATTAGTTGAAAAGCAAAGTTTAACCAACATAAGCTTAATTAAATCACCAACTTTTAATAATAGGCTAAGCAGTTCCATACATGCAATAAATGTGTTCGTAAAAAATCAAAGAAACACTATCCGATCAAACACAGCGAGACCAGCTGAGCAAGAAAGAAATAAGTAGACAAAGGGTAAGTTTCGTAACTGCAGATTAAAGGAAGGTCTCACCGTAATCTAAGTGCTGACTATGTCCAGAGAAGTTTCACAGTTTCCAAATAATCCAAATGATGAGAGAGGTGGCAAGAGGAAGAAAAACAAGAACACAAACTGGGAGGGGGAGAGGAGGCGGATGGAGGGTAGGATGCAGGAGGGTTGGTGAAGGAGAGAAAGACAGAAAGAGAGGGGCTTACCAGCATGGTGTTATTCTGATCATTTCCCCCAATCCCTTCCAAGGGGCAAGACAATGTGTTTTTAAAATCCAAGCCTTTAATTTCCTTGCCTTCATGGCAACATCTTATAAAATCCTGGATGCCATGCTTTGTAAGTCATTTGAGTTGTCATGTGCTTTGCATGTGATTCCTTTGGTGCATTTGTACGCCCCACTTTAAAAGGCTATGAATAGGCAAGTGTCACATAAAACTAGTTACAATTTTCAGCATGTATTACTCTGGTGACATACCATACATTTTAAAGAGGTTGAGGATTGAGAGTTTCCACGAGCATCTTATGTCTTGTGTGATAACGTTGAGCCGTTGACTTCCACAGTGATCAACTAAGCCTTCTTCTTTTAGCTTCTTTCAATTTTAAGAAGGCCTTTAATTTGTGCACTGTTTTTGTCTTAACTTAAAGCTTAGAAAAAGAAATCATTGAACCATGAACACTAATTATTACTCTAGTTTGTATTAGTATTCCCAGCGCCACTTCAAGGATGCCTCTAGTATCTATTGTAATGGAAGAAGAGGCCTGTGTTACATGGACTCCTCGTTTTCCGGCAAATATTGGTATCGAAATGACACGACACAGACATGGGTGGAATACGGCTCAGACACGACACTTTGCAAAAGGATCTGGCTGTCTGAAGCAAATCAAGGAAGACGGACCACACATTGGGGCAAATTGAGGAAGAGAAACACAGATAAAGTCAGATCGAGGCACAACAAGGAAGCGAATTGATAGTCGATCTGAAAGAAATTTTCAAATTGTTGAACATGAGAGAGAGAGAGAGAGGGATCTTGTCCTCTTTTTTTCTTTTTTTGGATTTTGCCTTTTTTTGATCAAGGACTTTATTTAAAAGAAGAAACATTATGGGCTTGCCCAGACTTTGTAAAGAAGAATGATAATGGACTTGCCAAACCTTTCACTGTATTTGGGCTACAATAAATTTATACTGACAATATTTATTGGGCTAATTTTCCGTTCTTCATGACATTCTGCAACAAAATAACAAAATTCAATACTCCAAAAAAAAAAAATAAATAAATAAATAAAAAGGAAGAAACCCTACTAATTTAGAAGCAAACTTTATTTGGGTGCTTTTTATTTTTAATGTAGCCTTCACTTGATTGGGATATAAGACTTAGTTTATTTTGGTTTGGTTTGGTTTGGTTTAAAGTTAGAGGCTGTTTCTGGTGATCTGATTTAGAAGCAAACTTGCTTGTTCTGAAAACATGGTACTTTTGAGCCCTGTTACATTAATTTGCTTTTATTCTGAGAACATGCTACCATCAATGCTGACTTGAACTTCTGTACATCTGAAACAAACTGAAAAAAATGTGCTCATCTGAAACCAACTACACTGAACTCGGGTGGCTGGTTATAGGGTTACCCAACAACACCTTCTTAGCACCGAAACATTTTACTTTTTCCCCATGAATTCTAACATTGTAATTTTCATTGTTCCCTTTAGTACCACCCTGATGTCAACAAACAACCCGGAGCAACAGAAAAGTTCAAGGAGATCAGTGCTGCATATGAGGTATGCAAGGGAGCTAGCAACTGTAGAATCTTTATTCTCATAACTGTGATTGCTTTTTTTTCCTGTTATTCTTCACTACATGTATGCTATAGCTATATGTTTTAAGCTCGTTGAAGTCTGTATTAAATGAAGAACTTCACTGTTTAATTTGTATGCCTGGTGTTTGAGGATGGTCTTTTATTTGTTGATTAATTAATGCAGTGCCTGGGTGTGGCAAACCATGTTTGCAGTTTTTACAAATTATCCATTATTTTCATGAACCATATTATTGCTCAGCACTGGTGAATATGGTCTTTGTATGATTAATTGATATAAGTTCAGTATGAGTAAGGAAATTGGAGATGATCTAAGAGAGGAAGCAACTCAAAGACCTGGACTACATGGCTAACACACACCATTCCTTTTTTTTCTTTAAATTTTATCCCACACTCATTGAAAAAGAACTTTTTCAAAGTTTGAATGCCTTTTGATAGACTTCTCAATTTTGTGAATGAAATCTAATCCATGTTGGGTCCATGCTAATTGGTTAATCATTGCACATCCAAATACTTTGTGTGCTGCCCATGCTTATTTGTGTAGATATTTTTGTATTTAATTGTATTAAACATATAGCAATCACTATTTTTTAATGCTGGACTAGTCAACTTGAAGATGATATAAATTCTGATGGGCAGTTTTAGTATTAATGATCTGGGTTGACTTAAGTTCAGGCTGTCAAAGTAGAGTTGGCAGTTTCTTGACTGACCTTATTGCCTTAGTGAAAGATTTAGAGAAGAGAAAGAGGTAGGGAATGAGTGAGACCTCATTCCCTTTTATATTAAGAATAAAGCATAATTACAGGAGTGCCACAAGGCATGAATTACGGGCCAGCCCATTACATCAATCAAGGAATAGAAACAAATCAAAATAATATATATGAATATAATTTCCTATTCTAACACTCCTCCTCAAGCTAATGCGAAGATATCTCTTATGCCCATCTTATTGAGAATGTCATGAAATGGATTGTTTCCTATTCCTTTGGTGAGAACATCTGTCAGTTGGTTCCCAGTCTTCACAAATAGAGTACATATAGTGCCACTAGTGAGCTCTTCCTTGATGAAGTGCCTACCAATCTCCATATGCTTGGTTCTGACACGTTGAACTGGATTATGAGCTATGTTGATCGCTTCCTTGTTGTCACAGTACAATCTCAGGGGATCGGTCTGATGGATCACCAAGTCTCCCAACAATAGTCTAATCCATAACAACTTACATACACCCTGAGCCATAGCCCTGAATTCTGCCTCAACACTAGATTTAGTAACCACATTCTGTTTCTTACTTCGCCATGTGACTAGGTTGCCTCCAACGAATGTGTAATATTCAGAAGTTGATCGTCTGTCAGTGACTGATCTAGCCCAATCCGCATCAGTAAATGCTTCCACACTAAGATGTTCATGTTTTGAGAAATAGAGACCCTTACCAGGAGAACATTTCAGCTACCTCAAGATTCTCATAACTGCCTCTAAGTGGGAAGTTCTAGGAGCATGCATAAACTGGCTAATCATGTTCACTGTAATGGCAATGTTTGGACGTGAGTGGGATAAGTATATGAGCTTACCCACTAGCCTCTAATATCTTCCCTTGTCCATGAGTTCTCCCCCTTGATCTTCACTTAGTTTCTGGCCTGGTTCTAGAGGTATATCACATGGTCTACCTCCAAGCATCCCAGTTTCCTTTAACAAGTCAAGTACATATTTCCTCTGACATATGAAGATGCCATCCTTGGACCGAGCTACTTTAATGCCCGAGAAATACTTCAAATTACCCAAGTCTTTGATTTCAAACTCCTTGGCTAAGTATTCCTTCAACCAAGGAATCTCCTCAACATCATCTCCTGTCAAAACAATATCATCAACATAAACAATAAGAGCTGTGGTCTTACTATGTGAGGAGTGTTTCACAAATAAGGTGTGATCAGCTTGACTTTGCTTGATCCCATATCTCAGCATAGCTTGAGTAAACCTTCCAAACCAAACCCTAAGAGACTGCTTTAGTCCATAAAGTGACTTCCGGAGCCTGCTCACTTTACCTTTGGATTTAACATCCTTAAAACTAGGGGGAATATCCATATAGACCTCTTTTTCTAAGTCTCCATGAAGGAAGGCATTCTTTACATCAAACTGATGAAGTGACCAATCCAAATTTGCTGTAAGAGAAAGTGGTGTTCTCATAGAGTTAATCGTAGCAACCGGTGCAAACATCTCGTGGTAATCTACCCCATAAGTCTGAGTGAAGCCCTTAGCAACCAGTCTTGCTTTGTACCGTTCTATGGAATCGTCTGCTTTGTGTTTTACTGTGTACACCCACTTACAGCCAACTGGATTTTTGCCTCTAGGTAATTCCACTGACTCTCAAGTGCCATTCATACTAAGAGCTCTCATCTCCTCCATCATTTCATGTTTCCATTCAGAAATAGAGAGAGCATCCTGAAAATTGTTAGGCAGACTCACATAAGAAATCTTAGACAGAAAGGCTTTATATGAGGGAGACAGATTATAATAAGAGACATGATTAGTAATAGGATGTTGAGTACATGACCTAACCCTTTCCTATTAGCAATGGAACATCAAGATCTGAAAACTCAGGAATAGGAGCATGAGAATCAAAATTACCTAGACTCTCAGGAGAGAGGGTTGACTCTAGACACTCATCTGGAGAAGAAGTTGGCAATAGAGGAAGGAAAGTAGTCTTTTGCATTCATGTGACTTTTTGTCTATCTTTGTTCCTGACATAAACTTTGCCTACTTTCTTTTTCACAGCAACTGCTAGCTTATCAACCTCTATCTATTCAACCACTAGCGATAGTGAAACAGGAATCTCTTCACACCAAGGCTCCTCCTGAAGGGATGATTGTGACACTGGGGAAGTTAGAAAGTAAGAGTGAGACTCAAAGAATGTGACATCCATGGAGACAAATCATTTGCAAGTGGAAGGATGATAACACTTATAATTCTTTTGGGTTACAGAGTAATCCAGAAAAACACACTTAAGAGATCAATGATCCAATTTGTCACGAGTGAGAGAAGATTATGGACAAAACAAACACATCCAAAGGTCTTAGGTGAAATGGAAAACTCAGAAGATGTGGATCCAAACAAAACCTAAAGAGGGGTTTGTTTGTGAAGGACTTTGGTGGGAAGGTGATTAATCAAATAAGCTGCAGTGAGAACAGCTTCCCCCCAATATAAATGAGGGACACACATTTCAAAAGACAGACAACAAGCTATATCAAGAAGATGGCGATTTTTGCGTTTGGCAACACCATTTTGTTAAGGGGTATTAGAACATGAAGTCTGGTGAATAATACCATGAGTAGCAAAATAACTACCAGGACCAGAATCAATGTATTTCCCCCCATTATCAGAACGTAGGATTTTCACAACCGCCCCAAACTTGGTGGCAAACCATTCTATGAAAATTTTGAAAAACATGAATAAACCTCACTCTTGTCTTTCATAAGATACACCTAAGTGGCCCTAGAACAATCATTTATGAAAGTGACAAACCATCTTTGACCCTTTAAAGACACAAAACGTGAGAGACCCCATACATCAGACTGAATCAAAGAAAATGGAACTAGACTTTTATTCAAAGTAGGAGCAAATGTAGCTCTGTGTTGTTTTCCAAGTTGACATGATTCACATTGAAAATCAGACACATTATTTTTCTCAAAAACATAAGGAAAAAGATGTTTAAGTAGCAAAAAAGAGGGATGTCCTAAGCGACGGTGCTATAGTTAAAGGTCTTCTTTGGTGGATGGTAATTGAAGGGATGTATGAGCCAGCTTGTTTGTTTGATCCAGGATATAAAGACCATGTTCCTCTCTACCACTGTCAATCCTCTTCCTCGTGATAAGGTCCTGAAAAAGACAGTGATTAGGAAAAAATGTCACGTTACAATTCAAATCACGAGTAATACGACTCAAGGATAGCAGATTAATACTAAAATTGGGAACATGAACTACAGATGATAGAGGAAAGGAAGAGGTGGCATGGATTAAACCTTTCCCTGACACAGATGAAATAGTGCCATCAGCAATACACACTTTTTCTTGACCTGAGGAAGGTGTATATTCAAAGAAAAAATTAGAGGAACCATACATATGATCGGACGCACCATAATCAATAATCCAAGGAAAAGTCTTATGAGATAGCAATGCACTTATAAAGGAAGCCAAGTTACCTGAATTGTCAAAGGAAGAAGAGGATACACCTAAGATAGTAGTAGAGGCGCAATAGTCTAGCAAGTGGTGGAGAGCAATCTCAAACTCTGAAGTAGATAATCCAAAAACATCAATAGCCAGTGTGACTACAGGAACTGAAGATGGTGGCTTAATCATGTCAGAAAGATGGGCTCGAGCATTGCCTCGACCTATCCCCTTGAGTACTAGGACGGTCTCCTCGACCACCAGAAGAAGTCCCATGTTGTTTTCAACAAGTCTCTCATGTGTGTTGAGGTCTACGGCAGTAGTCACAGAAAAGATTATCTTTCTCAGATGAAAGACAAGAACCACGAGACACACGCTCACCATTTCGAGGAGGTGCAGAAACCAAGCCAGAATGATCAATGGTCGTAGAAGGAAGCATCGCAGAGCAGCGATTCTTCTTATTCTGCACATAAGAGAAGGCTTCTTGGAGAGAAGGAAGCACGTCCACACCAAGTATTCTGCTTCGAACCGGATCATACTCCACATTCAAGCCTTCCAATAACTTGAAGACCCGTTCATTCTCCACAAACTTTTGGTAACCAACAAAATCCGTGGGACATACAGGGTTATAATCCGGGCTTACAGGAGGACAGTCATCTCACCCTATACTGACCTCTCAATGGACCGGTGTAACTCGAAAGCCTGGGAGAAATTCTCCTTCCGGGAGTAAGTACTATACTAGCTATTGCCTCCCAAATATCCTGTGCAGTGTCCATAAATATATAGCCCTCGCCAATCTCCGGGACCGTAAAATGTATCAACCAACCTATGATTGGGGAGTTGGTGATCTCCTAGGGTCCGTAGTGCTGGTTGCCTGTATCCTTCCATCAACATACCCCATCTTCCCTCTGCTCTTCAAAAAAATAGTCAAACTCTGCGACCACGCTAGATAGTTCTGACCATTAAATACAGAGGTGGTGATTTTAAGACTAGGGTTGGGGTTATCAGTCATAGTAGTAGGTATAATGGAACTCTCACTCTTAGATGTCTGAGAAGTAGTGGACTCACGGGTGGAATCTATCATAGATACTCTACTACCTAACCCTCTACAAAACTAGTGCCAATCACAAACTCAGAAGATGGTGGAGGAAGAGTAAGCACAATGACCACTAAAAAATCATATGAAATTTAAGAATACTTTTTTTTTTAAAAAAAAAAAGTTAATACGCCACAGAAGGCCTCCTAAAGAGAAAAGAAGGGCCCAGGTTTCCCTATAGGGACTGCTGCACTAAGTCAGACCAGCAAGGAGGCTAGTCAGCAGTTGGAGAACCCTCTGCAGTGGCTGGGGAAGCCTGCTGAGGGGAAAGGGAGCCTGGGTAAGGGTTGTCAGAAGCCTGGCTGTGGGGGTGAAGGGAGAAAGGAGAGAAGCTGTCTGGGTGAATGGAGGAAGGAGAGAGATTGTTGGTGTGTGTGGTAGGGTTGAAAAAAGGTGTCGGGTGATAGGGTGGAAGGAGGCAACTGTTTAGGGTAGTAGGGTATGGGTGGCTCTGATACCATGAAAGATTTAGAGAAGAGAAAGAGGTAGGGAATGAGTGAGACCTCATCCCTTTTTATATTAAGAATAAAGCATAATTACAAGGGTGCCATAAGGCATGAATTATGGGCCAACCCATTACATCAATCAAGGAATAGAAAACTAATCAAAATAATATATATGAATATAATTTCCTATTCTAACACTTAGTTCACGTCTTAACTTACAACATTCTTGTCCTGTATATATTTGGAAATCTTACAACTTTCATTAGTTTCAACTTTCAACATTCTTGTCCTGTTTATATGTGCTACAAGCTTACTGTTTCTTCTTTTCTGTAATGTAGTTGATGTCACCATTTTTTTTTAATACTAAAATCTGGATTATTTAGAATTCCATTGCTACATAACTCACCAGAGTATCGATCTCCACTTTATGCTAAAATCTGTGGTAACATTTTTGTTGTCTTCATATTTGGAAACACATGTAATTAGACACATTTATGTTAACACTTGTCTGCCAGAAATTGGTTGCTGATAGCATATCCTCTTAATCATTCTCAGCCATTAATTTACATGCATCCAACAACATTATGATTTGCAAAATAATATCATTTGGTCTTATGAAACAATACTATGCCATTGTTCTTTTTAGGATCATTCTATTGATGTGTGCTTTAAGTAAATTAGCTTAATTAGTTGTTCATATTAATCAAATTGTTCTTTTGAAATCTGAAGTATGATATTGTCAGGTGCTATCAGATGACAAAAAGCGGGCTTTGTATGATCAATATGGTGAAGCTGGGGTTAAAAGTACAGTAGGAGGACAAGCTGGTGCTTATACGGTACCTTTCTTGTTGCTGAATTTCCATTTTATGTATTTCCTATGGCAAAGAATTGAAGAGAAGTAGCATATTTGAGGCAAAGATACTTTTCTATCAATGATGTCTCGCTAGCTGTCATCATGTCATGTATCGCATACTTTTGGCCTCATCTTTTGGGTTATAGTTTTCTCCCTTGGTCATCCAGTGCTGAACTTGAGAACTATCTAATCACCATAGCCATCAATCAGGTGCTATTTTATCTTTAAGAAAGAGAAATGGAAGATGGGAGGGTGAAAATATTAAATGAACCTCAATACCCTGAATTACTTGCAGAGAGACAATTATGTATAGATTGAACTGGCTCTTGGCGTGTGAAAAGCTATGGGGAGGCTTACATTGGCCACAATCTCGACTTCCCTACTCGTCACTGACCTCTGGTGTAGTAGTGCTGGCCTATTTTGTGAACACATTTCACTTTTTTTAACAATTTTCTTAGAATAACCGTATTTCTAGGTAAATCTTTGATATTATTGCTTAACAGTCAAATCCCTTTTTGTTATGCATACATATACTCTCTCCTGGAAGTCGCGGGGAAAAACATCTGCCAAAGTCGTACCTTCATGCTGCAGATTGCAGTGACATGCTTGTTTTATAAGAATATGAGCATTTGGATGTCTTTTTGGCCATTATAGAAGGCTCAAATTTTGTATGTATCTTTTTAAAAATTTGCCCCTTATTATTATTATTATTATTTTGGAATTTAAATGTATTATTGATACATAGTGAAAATGGCCTTCCAGAATAAAAATGTAAATTTAAAAGAGAACAGATTTATTTTTAATTATAGTGACTGGAATGTAGGAATGAATGGGGATCCCTATCAACATAAAAATGAAGAGTATATAATTAGAGTTTTCTCCTTTCTCTCCCTCAATAGATTTATCCAGTCTGATATGGTAATACAATGAGACTCAGACGTTGGAATGCAAGTGATGATTCACTTGTCCCCTTGTCCATTGGGGCCTCATAGTGGAAAGGACCTCTTAATTCCATGCTAATCACCTAAGTGGACCATTGGTTTTTGAAAACTATGTTGCAGTGCGAGATGCTACAATTGCATGATCATATGTTAACTACCACTTTGTATAATTTTAGCCAATAATAATTCTTATTTTATTGCAGACTAATCCTTTTGATCTGTTTGAGACATTCTTTGGGCCTAGCATGGGTGGTTTTTCGGGTATGGACCAGGCCGGATTCCGAACACGTCAACGTAGTACTGTTACTAAGGGCGAAGATATACGGTGAGTAAAAAATTTGACTTTAACCTTCAAACAATATATGGCTTCTTGAAACTAAATAAATAAATATATACTTTTTGACTAAATAAATATACTTTTTGGACTTTTTACGAAAAGATGTTCAAAAAAGTAGAGAGGTGATGTGACCCAAAAAAGATAAAAAAAAGTGCACTTTTGTAGGGGATTCCAAATAGTGCCTAACATTTTTGTTGAACTTATCTCGTACTTCATACATGGAGATTCCCTCTCCATGGAAAAGGAATGACAATATTAGTCATTTGTGATGATGGAATCTTTATCTTGTTGCTACAGTAAAAAGTTACCACTGATGGATTGTAGGTTGTCTCCATTGTATAGCTAAGTTGAGTTTCATAGCGTCTCATAATGTATGAAATTATGAGGTCAATGTACAACATCTCCTTTTGGTCATTGTGCTGTTCTAATTGCTTTGCATCTAATGTGGCCTAGGTATATATGGGCTATGGATCTGTATTTATTTGATCCTAAAATGATTGATTTCATTGTACAAGAAACTGCTTGAGTGTTTTTTTTTTTTTTTTAAACTTCTGCTTAGAGTTCGTTGGGTTCTTCCCTTTGTTATACTGTGCATATGTCTTGCAAGTCTATGTTCATATGACGTTTAATTTTTAACTGCCTGCAGCTAATTCTTAGGAATGGGAACTTTACATTTCTAATCCTGACCACGTCGTATCTTTCTACTGTCTTTGTAAGTCAAGTTTTGATATGCTTCAAAATAAGGAAAAAAAATTAGCGATGTCGACCATTGTATCGGGATTTTGACGGAGATACCAATATTGACATTGTATAGCAATACAGTTTGAAATTCAACGGAATTTGGTAGCAGTAATGAGGCTTTGTGAAGCCTTAGTAGAAATAGTAATGTATAAAGTTCAGGGTTAAAGGCATGCTGGCTGATTATGTATGGATCATCAATCAATGTACTATCACAGATCTATTACTTCAACCATCGAAATTTCATGTCATACTCGTGGGATGAATTTGTTAAGAAAATTTTGAGCTGCCACCCATCTGGAATTCATATTAGAAGGCAATTTATAGTAGAACTCCATTTATCTATCAAAATGCTGCCTTTTGCGATGATAAATGCTAATTTTCAAATTAAATTACCTATAGTTAACTAACAAACAGTACAGATACCAATCCAATAAAAATGTGATGTTTATGTTGTGTATGCATCTCTAGTACTTTCTTGGCAGATGGAAAATCCTTGAATTTTCACCATCTGCCTTCTTGGTTTTCTGAAGTTCTCTCCTTTTTGTTTTGGTCGGGTTGGTTTCTTAAATTTTTGTTTCACTTTTTTGCAATTTATTGGTCCTTTAGAAGAGAACGGCTATATTTTCTTCAGCTACTCCATCGCCATTGGTAGATGTGTGTATTCATTAGCTTGAGTTATTTGGACCTTGTATCTTGTTCCCCTTGAGCTTCAACCTTGTAGTTATGAATATGTTGTTTAATACAAGTACGTAACTGAAAGCCAATTTAGACTACACTTTCATGGAATTTAAGCTTATAGGTGAAGAATCTGTGCATGGTTTCTCAATTGTTCTATTATTGAGACATAATCATCAATTTACAATTTGCCTGTTATATGACTACATTTGTTCTCCGACTCATGTTATTTAAGTTCATTTGTTTTCTGTTTTAAAAAGCATTATGTTGAGTAATCTTTCCCTTTCATGTGGAGCATATATTATAGGCAGATATCAAGGATGCAAAATTACTTGTTCTTGTGGAGCTTAATATACAAATGGAAGACCTTTCCATTTTGAGAACTGACAGTGGAAAGTTGTATATAGCAAATATAAAGTGCTTGACAAGTTACTCCTTTGGAGCATAAACAACAAATTTTTCTAGGGTTAAGTACTTTAATGTCTGAGGAAAAAGAGGAGAGCAGGGCTGTTCCAAGTCCTTTGTTAATTCTACGAGATGACCTTATGTGTGTCGTTGATCTTCAGTAGTAATTATGTGCAAGTATGTAGCTCCTCTCTGATGCTGTGTACAAATTTAGGGATGAAAGAGATATGCACGATTGCCTGCTTTGAGTGGCTTATGTCATATTCTGAATACATACAGTGATTATTAAAAGAAACTTACATTTCATATATTTTTATTAACAGTTAAAGCCTATGTTTCCCTCTATTCACTTAGGTTTACTTGTTGCTTTTTTGCATGTAGTTGTTATGTTTGTATGCGGAATTCAATAGTCAAGTTTTACCATAGAAACTGGTAGAGTTGGCTTATGGTGTGAAATGTGTTTCAGTTATGATATGATTTTGGAATTTTCGGCGGCCATATTTGGAGCAGAAAAAGAATTCAAACTTTCACATCTTGAAACATGCGAAGTTTGCACTGGTACTGGAGCTAAGATAGGCTCCAAAATGAGGATATGCTCAACTTGTGGTGGTAGGGGTCAAGTTATGCGAACTGAACAAACACCATTTGGCTTGTTTTCACAGGTAATTTTGTAATATTTGTACTCGTCAAATGGGGGAAAAAATGGTACTGTTTGTGCCTTGCGACTTTTGATCAGTTGATTCAAATCTTACCTCCTGTATGATGCAGACGCTAAGATTTGAGAAACATACTCGATTTTGATTGATAAATATGGGAATGGAACTTGCAAAATTGTTGTTTTCACTGTAAATTGACCAAAGAACGGAAATGTGTAAAAAAACTGAACTGAAGCTTAAGGTCTGGATGCAGTTAACTGGGTATACGCGTCAATACATGTGCATGATGTGATGGAATTTACAGTAAAATTTGGGTAAAGGTGGCATAGGGCTTGGCAGTTCTGATGCCTGCCTACTTTTCAATGGAGTACAGCTCTAGAATAGATGTGTTACAAAAGAAAATCGTGTATAATTGCCAAACTGATCCGATAAATAAAAATCTTGATGATGTGAAGTATTAAAGTTAATGAGGGTCAATGCTATTTGTTAAATATCTACTTTGGTAACAAATATTATCGACACTCATTAACATTAATACTTCACAACATCAAGCTTTTAATTTACATTGGTAACATGTGTAAATATCTTTTTTGTTAACATTTCTCTCAAATGGATTCGTTGTTCTTATCCCTAAGAAAGGGGATGTAGAAGATATTAGAGATTTTAGGTGTATTAGTCTTCTAGGAGGGGCATATAAGTTGTTGGCAAAGTTCTTGGCTATGAGAGTAAAGGCAATCACGAGCTTAGTAGTATCAAACTATCACAATGCCTTCATTGACGGCAGTCAAATTCTGATGTTGTTCAAGTAGCAAATGAGGTTCTTGATTCCAGATTGTGGAGAGGGAGCCGGGATTGATTTTTAAGCTGATTTGCTAAACATTGAAAAGCTTATAATCATGTGATTGGGGATTGCTTGCTTCATGTGATAGAGAAAATGGATTTTAGGGAGAGGTGGAGACGGATTAGCTTATGCATTATTTCTGTCAGGCTTTTGCTGTTGGTGAATGACTCTCTCTCACTCTCCAGATGTCTAGGGGATTGTGGCAAGGGGAACCTTTTGCTCTCCTCTTGATCTTAGTAATGGAAGTTTTGAGGAAAATAATAGGGTGGTTTTATGGAAGGTTTTTAGGTAGGGTCCTCCTTGGAGACTAGTTTGGTGATTTCTCACTTGCTTTTTGCTAACGACACTTGTTGGCGCATAAATTTCAACTAAATTTATGACACGTATAGAGTCTATGATAGGAAGGTTGTAGGTAATCACTTCCTAAAAAAGATCAATATGATCCGTTGAAGTACATAAATAAAACGACGTTGTATCTCAACAACGTTATTCAAGATACTCAAGTGAAACATGGAGCCTACGAAAGATGACACCTGTAGAGCCTACAGTAAGGATACCACACAGGATGAAACCCCAAAGATCAATCTGGTTAATCAGATATACGATTAATCAGATGGCGCTATTATTCAAAATTCAAATGGCACTATCATTCAATTTGAAATTTAAATTGAAGATGAGGCATTCCTATCACCTGATGGCCCTCTATAAATATGAGGACCATCACACAAGACGAGGGATCAGAAAATCAGAAGACTTAGAAAATATGAGGAAGAAGAACTCCGAAAATATGAGGAAGAAGGAATATATTCAAAACTTCTTATCTTACAAGACCAAATGACACTCCTTATATAGGAGATATTACAAGCATCATTATAACCCATTATATGCCACTTACATATTATATATTACCACAATCTACCACTATCATATTATATACATGCCACTATCTACCACCAACACCACAATCATATTCTATACATGCCACTATCCTTCACCAACACCACTATCATATTATATACATGCCACTATCTACCACCAACACCACAATCATATTCTATACATGCCACTATCCTTCACCAACACCACTATCATATTATATACATGCCACTATCTACCACCAACACCACAATCATATTCTATACATGCCACTATCCTTCACCAACACCACTATCATATTATATACATGCCACTATCTACCACCAACACCACTATCATATTATATACATGCCACTATCTACCACCAACACCACTATCATATTATATACATGCCACTATCTACCACCAACACCACTATCATATTATATACATGCCACTATCTACCACCAACACCACTATCATATTATATACATGCCACTATCTACCACCAACACCACTATCATATTATATACATGCCACTATCTACCACCAACACCACTATCATATTATATACATGCCACTATCTACCACCAACACCACTATCATATTATATACATGCCACTATCTACCACCAACACCACTATCATATTATATACATGCCACTATCTACCACCAACACCACTATCATATTATATACATGCCACTATCTACCACCAACACCACTATCATATTATATACATGCCACTATCTACCACCAACACCACTATCATATTATATACATGCCACTATCTACCACCAACACCACTATCATATTATATACATGCCACTATCTACCACCAACACCACTATCATATTATATACATGCCACTATCTACCACCAACACCACTATCATATTATATACATGCCACTATCTACCACCAACACCACTATCATATTATATACATGCCACTATCTACCACCAACACCACTATCATATTATATACATGCCACTATCTACCACCAACACCACTATCATATTATATACATGCCACTATCTACCACCAACACCACTATCATATTATATACATGCCACTATCTACCACCAACACCACTATCATATTATATACATGCCACTATCTACCACCAACACCACTATCATATTATATACATGCCACTATCTACCACCAACACCACTATCATATTATATACATGCCACTATCTACCACCAACACCACTATCATATTATATACATGCCACTATCTACCACCAACACCACTATCATATTATATACATGCCACTATCTACCACCAACACCACTATCATATTATATACATGCCACTATCTACCACCAACACCACTATCATATTATATACATGCCACTATCTACCACCAACACCACTATCATATTATATACATGCCACTATCTACCACCAACACCACTATCATATTATATACATGCCACTATCTACCACCAACACCACTATCATATTATATACATGCCACTATCTACCACCAACACCACTATCATATTATATACATGCCACTATCTACCACCAACACCACTATCATATTATATACATGCCACTATCTACCACCAACACCACTATCATATTATATACATGCCACTATCTACCACCAACACCACTATCATATTATATACATGCCACTATCTACCACCAACACCACTATCATATTATATACATGCCACTATCTACCACCAACACCACTATCATATTATATACATGCCACTATCTACCACCAACACCACTATCATATTATATACATGCCACTATCTACCACCAACACCACTATCATATTATATACATGCCACTATCTACCACCAACACCACTATCATATTATATACATGCCACTATCTACCACCAACACCACTATCATATTATATACATGCCACTATCTACCACCAACACCACTATCATATTATATACATGCCACTATCTACCACCAACACCACTATCATATTATATACATGCCACTATCTACCACCAACACCACTATCATATTATATACATGCCACTATCTACCACCAACACCACTATCATATTATATACATGCCACTATCTACCACCAACACCACTATCATATTATATACATGCCACTATCTACCACCAACACCACTATCATATTATATACATGCCACTATCTACCACCAACACCACTATCATATTATATACATGCCACTATCTACCACCAACACCACTATCATATTATATACATGCCACTATCTACCACCAACACCACTATCATATTATATACATGCCACTATCTACCACCAACACCACTATCATATTATATACATGCCACTATCTACCACCAACACCACTATCATATTATATACATGCCACTATCTACCACCAACACCACTATCATATTATATACATGCCACTATCTACCACCAACACCACTATCATATTATATACATGCCACTATCTACCACCAACACCACTATCATATTATATACATGCCACTATCTACCACCAACACCACTATCATATTATATACATGCCACTATCTACCACCAACACCACTATCATATTATATACATGCCACTATCTACCACCAACACCACTATCATATTATATACATGCCACTATCTACCACCAACACCACTATCATATTATATACATGCCACTATCTACCACCAACACCACTATCATATTATATACATGCCACTATCTACCACCAACACCACTATCATATTATATACATGCCACTATCTACCACCAACACCACTATCATATTATATACATGCCACTATCTACCACCAACACCACTATCATATTATATACATGCCACTATCTACCACCAACACCACTATCATATTATATACATGCCACTATCTACCACCAACACCACTATCATATTATATACATGCCACTATCTACCACCAACACCACTATCATATTATATACATGCCACTATCTACCACCAACACCACTATCATATTATATACATGCCACTATCTACCACCAACACCACTATCATATTATATACATGCCACTATCTACCACCAACACCACTATCATATTATATACATGCCACTATCTACCACCAACACCACTATCATATTATATACATGCCACTATCTACCACCAACACCACTATCATATTATATACATGCCACTATCTACCACCAACACCACTATCATATTATATACATGCCACTATCTACCACCAACACCACTATCATATTATATACATGCCACTATCTACCACCAACACCACTATCATATTATATACATGCCACTATCTACCACCAACACCACTATCATATTATATACATGCCACTATCTACCACCAACACCACTATC